CAGCTGTACCACTACCCATCCTACAACCATCTTGCAATTTCCTAGCACGATTTTCCATCCTCGTCATTCGGACGGAAACTGCGCGCTTATCTCCGCATGAGAGCATCGCTTGCGTCATTTTAGTTTTTGGTTCCACTCGCATACCCTTACAGGGGGTTTCACATTTGTATGAGGTCTGAACTGAAATAGTCATCTTGAAGATCATTCGGCGCAGTTTACAGCCCTGTTCGTGTCATGAACTTTTTGTTTCTGTGGACGCGCGCCGCAAAATGAGCAGGACTATTCCGTGCGAACTATTTCAAAGCTACTCAGAATCCATGACGCCATCATAGCATCATTCAAGTTCTGTCAACCCACTGGCTATGCGGCGTTCGAGGTCAATGCAAATATAATTGTCGAATCGTTCATATCTGGCATTCGTGAGCACGACTTTCAGATACAGCGGCCGTCAACAGGCTCTCAACCAATGTTGTGCAAGCTATGCCAAATTTTAAAAGGATTTATGTTTTGTGCTTCATAATACAAGACATTATGCATTCTTCCATTACGGAAAAACCTGTAATCGAATAGCTTAACCACAGCGCTATAACCGAGTATGTGAATGCAAGTAAGGACCTTAATGAGCACTTCATTCTTCACACCCGCTATTGCGGCCGGTAATTACAGCTTTGCCATCAGATCTCAGCACCAATAGATGGGCAACACAGGCCTCAGTCACGGCTATGACGATATAAAATGGTATGGTGTGGTAAAAGGCATGCTAAAATGTAATGTATGGGAATATAATGCACATCGTATGTAAAATGTCTCTCGCTGCCAAGCTTGACATCAACTTTGATACTTTGAATGGATCGCTACGCGCGCGTTTAATGCAGCTTAAGTTGAACAATAGGTTGGTCAATGTGGGACGGGAGACGGGTTGAGTTGGGTACATATTTGAGGAAATTGCGCGTGTGGGTACGGATATGGGTACCAGCAATCTACGAAACTTACGGTACAGATGCAAGAATCATCACACAGTGTTACTGCTGGCTCCACTCTTCGTCATAAACTCTCTCAACCCTTCAATTCAAGATCTCCTGATGCCCAGGTAAAAAGACAGCAGCTTTAGGCCTTTCTTGTTAAAACCAAGTCAACCAGCACATCCTACCACATCCCGTTGCCACGACCTCAAACTGTATCACCTCTGACGGTGGTGCTGCTGCACATGCTGATTTATTATTTAGCTATGGGTGAACATGTACATTGTATATTCCTATTAGAGACGCATCTTTTTCATGAAATGTCAGCCCGCAGCCCGGCCCGCTGCCCGCCCGCCCGGCCTGTAAGGGACACAACCCACTATAGACCGCTGTGCTGCAATGTCAGGCCGCAGCCCGGCCCGCCCCGGCCAGCTAGGGATACAGCCCACCACAGACCGCTATGCTACAATACTGACTCGGCGCTAAGTTGCAAGTACTAAGTTAATTACGATCTGCACTGTGTCATTTCAGATGACATGACTGATAACCAAATATATTCCGCTCCTTCTTAGGGTTCCATAGCACCGGACAATGAATGGCGAGTTAGCGCCTATGGATGGGAAAGCTAGCTGGCTCTCTATCAAGTTGGAGAGCTCAACTGCCGTAAGTTGGAGGGGGCTGCGCCCCTTCAACCGGTACGATCTCACACCCTGGCTGCTGCAGACTGCGTACATCACGCCTGTACAACACGCTCACATCTCAGGTAAATCCTGAAAGTTCGGAGCCGGTGGATGGCGTGGTTAAACACCGTCCGCAGACATGGCCTTGCCTGGGGCACCGACAGCAACAAAAACGCTCAGAACTGCCCTCTTCCTGGCGAGACGATCGCCAGCAAAACCAACCCCTATGCGTCCGATCTTCAGTCTCAGCACGGAGCGTTCAGATGTCCTGAGGCTGGCCGACCAGCTGACCACCACCCACCGAATGGGCCTTTGGCAAGGGAGCCCCGCTTGAGGCCGGCAAAAGTCCCTCGTGCTGTAAATGGGCTGGCATGTAAGCGGGCCGTTGCATGATGCGGAGCTCCGCCGACTGGGCCGCTCCCGTCCGGCGTCCCCAAGGCCACTGCCTGCAGAGCACTGCAAGTCAGCGCCGTGCAGGCGCCGTGATCGTGCAAGGATGGGCACTGGCCCCCCTCCTCAAGACCATTCCAGCACCCCGACAGCTGGTCCTGTCCCGTGCTATGTGGCGCACTGGCTGCAAGCTGCACCGAAGCGGCTGGACATTCCATGTCACGGCTGGTCAGCGTTGCGGTGGCTAGCTGGCTCCTGGACCGACACCCCGCGGGCGCGCGAGACAGCCACCTGTCTCAGCGGTGGGGCGCGCCCGCAGTGGCCGACCGGCAACACCCGCGGGCGGCGCACTCTGGCAAGGTGGTCACTACGCGCACGTCGACGACAGCTCAGAACGCGGCACGTTCGTATCTGCTCGAAGCATTGCACATCTCCATATGCCGTTTGCTGTGAACAACAGCATTAATCTGCATGGCTTTTACAGGAGAAACAATGAAATACAACTGGGAAGTGACTCGCTATATGTAACCTAAAAGGTGTCAAACTTGATTCCCATGAAACCATTGGGGATATGGCGCTAGGTCGGATTAAGATGGGAGACTCTCAGAATATTTTCTGAGCTTTTGTGCCACGAAAGATAAAAAGCATCTCAGCACTCTTCACTTTAGGATGATTGCTAGTAGACAATAAAGACGCTTTTCAGCACCGCACGCAGCACTTTCAAAACTGATCAGGGCCTCCACTTTTCAACATCGGTTGTGGGGAATGAGCCGATGAAGTTGACCCAGCCGACCCGCAAAACCTGATTTCTTCCCGGGATTTCGGCCGCATATATTCGCGTTCCACATATCAAGGATTGAAATATATATGTTTTGTATGAATATGTAACTGGTGAAAATCGGGCGATGAAAGATTGTTTTAAAGAAGAAAAACATCCTATTTCGAGCCCACATCAAACCGCAGTTGTGAAAAGCTCATACTTGTGTGTAGTTCACAGAAAACATACAGGTAAGACGGTCCGATATGACCAACGAAAATAGCTGTTGCTTATCGTTGATAGGAGGCGGCCCGAGGGTAGAAATACAGTTTTAGGCTGAATGGTGTTGTCTCACACCGAGCCGACCAGTGAAGAGCGCACATGACACACTTTCTGGGCAGATGCCTCCGAGAATGCGCATGCGCACTGCCAAGAAGTACCACCAGCTAACATTGAAACTAAACTTGCACGACCTCAGCAGATATCTCGACACCGGCAAGGACACAGTAAATTCATGCTGGTTAGCGGGAGAGTCGCCAGAATGGCCGTCATAATAAATAGCGCGATCAGTGCTTCGATATGAGTCTGAAGTGAATATAAACAAGAACGGCCTTGCCTTCGTGATGCTTCGGCGTAATGATCTGCGGCCTCCAGTTTGCCAGGAGGTATTAATGCCTTGTCGAAAACCAGTTGGCTAAGCAATGTTATCAAGCAAGCAATGAGTATGTTCGGAAAATTCGACAGATTGAGGCTGAATGCAGTTCCCTCACATAAGTTCAGTAACACCGTACCAATATTTCATTCACTCGGCAACATACCGCGCAAAATGCGCCGAAATTGCGCCTCGTCATCCTTTTGTGAAGCAATCGGGTGGTAGAAATACCGCAAAAATCTACTTTAGATCCTTGGCCACCATCATGCTGCACGGTAACTGCTAGCTAAGAAATCAGTCCTTATAGCACAAAGGCGGCACGCATATAGCTGCCGCTCCCTCCCCCCTATCAAAAATAGGGTTTGTATTAAAATGTACGCAACTAAACGTTGACGGCTAAAAATGTCAGGTAGACACGTCAAAATAAAAAGATCAAAAGCACGCAGTGCTGTTATACGACACAAAAAGAGCTGTGCGAGCCTGTGGCGCACTGAGAGCGATTTTACTTTTTTTATTTGCTCCTCCGTCGCAAAATCATGTGTACATTTCTGGTAAACCCACGTCCGGCTGGGGGCAGTTGATTTCCTCCCTCCGGTTTTGCGAGTACAGGTCAAAAATGAAGGATCGCAGCAGCACGAAACTGCAGTGCCTGTTAATCTGTTAATTTGGCATCATTCGCGCGGATTGAAGTTTTGATGTACCAACATCAGTGACCGAGGACTGGTCAGGGAGGTCAACCTATAAAAAACTGAACACAGAATTTGCATGTGCCATTTGCAATTGTTCAAACTTTCTTTTGTAATAGAGCATGCCAGTACCTGCAATTTTGTATCCTGCAGATTTTCAAAAGGTGAGGCCAGCGACCAGAGGTCATGTAAGTTTGGCTAATTTCGTAAATAATGCAGATTTGAACGTTTATTTGTGTGGGTTCG